ATTCTATTGTATTTAGTTTTTGTTTAATGTTAGAGGGCGCCACATAAAGTATTGTACCTGGATTTAAATAACCACAACTCTTTTGTGCTGCACTGTATGTTACTTTTGACTAAACATACCTATTCTTCATTCAATTTTACATACAAAAAGTACTGTTGGTATTTGTTGCTGAAAGCAGCCGTTTTCTAAGAAAACGGGTTTAAAGTTAAACATGTGTTGGAATTTTGTAAGTTGAATCATTAAGTTTTTGAAAAACAAGTGAAAACATGTGTCTTTTATTGATTGTATTGCAATGTGACAAACTTAGATCATTTACACGACTAAGACTAAACTACTTCTAGAAATAAGTTACATTTACAATAATTACAAAATAAAAAATTTCTTTTGGACGCCCTGTATCTCAAGAACAGCTTTTATCTTAAAATTAGTCAAAGTTCTTAATAAACACCCTGTATATAGAGTATAGATGAAGGTATGGCACTTCAATAATAATTAGGAAATACCACTTTCAAAAATAAAACTATTATCATTTGATAGAGGACCTGTCTAAGAAAAACAATTAAATAATAGTTTTAACAAATCACAGAATGCTGCGTTTTCGAGATACTACTAATTTGAGAAATTAATTTGATTCTCAGTTTTATTTTGAATTTCTAACAAATGTCTTCCAATGTATTTTTTGAGTTATTTTTTTAAACTTAAAATAAGTCCACGATCTAGTTGAATAAATTGAAAATAAATCAGAAGTCAAAAGATCTATGTCAATGATCTTTTGACTTCTGATTTATTTTCAATTTATTCAACTAGATCGTGGACTTATTTTCTATTCTAAAATTTTTGAACGCATGATATTTATATTGCATTTAAAATTATATTTCTAAAAGAAAATTCTATAAAAATTTTTTTGATTTACTGAACTGTGTTGCAGGCTTATTTAACATTAAGAAAAATATAACTCAAAAATGGCTCATTTCTCAAATAAAATAGAAGAATTTATTTTTGAAAGAAAGTATACTAACCAGAATTATGTCCACTTATGTAATTTTTTTTTTAATTTCAACATTTTAGATCTAAAAAACAAATCGTTGTATGATCTATATTTATATGAATTTTTTATCTTACATTGAGGCTTTTCATTGACATAGAATTCAACTATAAATCATCCCGTGCATTTAAATTTGCAAATTATAGCACACTAGATTCATTTGTCCTTAAAAGTGTTTATAACAAAATATTCTTAAATTTGAACAAGCTCTTTCATTTTTAATCCCACCATGTCACAAGTTGTATACAAGTAAATTGTAACAGTTAGTCATTGGTCTCCCATAGATGCCGTCGGCTGTGTTTAATGTGACGGTGGATTATGCCAGTATATGAAAATGTATACTGATGTGACGCAGTGCGCACACCACAAACAACATACAGTGTAGGAGATCAATGATTAAATAAATAGGATATTTCATTTTAATGATATACCCCCCCTTTAATTTTATATGTACTGATATCAAATTTCATTTATGCATAAAAGGACACGTCCGATTTGATGAGAACGATTGCACTGTTGTCAGATTGTTTACACATTTATCTCTAATGGAAAGAAAAGTATATCCAAGTGTGCCACAAGCCTAATACATTAAGGAGCAGCTTGCTACCAGATAACCTTGAGGCCAAGTTTGAAAGTATGTAAGTTTTTGAAAAGCATCACAAACACGCAAATATCTGGAAAGATGTTTGACACGGAGAATAATAAAACTTGGTCTGATGACAACAAAATAATGATAAAAATTTCCTGAATTTGTATACTATAAATCTTAGAATTTCGAAGGCACCAAGTATTTTGGAAATTTTATAAAGGAATAATTTTCAAGTTATTTTATTTCTGTCTAAAATAACCTTTCTCTGCACTTCAATAAATATAAAATAACTAAAACTATTTGTTTTATAAAAATACATTCGTAGGTATTTTTTGTTACAAAGCAATTTTAAAACAGCGTAATCATAAAAAAAAACATTGATGAGGCACATTTATTTCTGTGCCAGTGAAGTTTCTTTTAATAATCACATTGCATTTTAAATTCTATTTACAATAAAAAAATTCCTATACATTTTTAATAGGAATTTAAGAATTATTTTTGATTTATTCAACTGTGTGATAAGTTTATATTAGACTGAAAAAAATCATAACTTGAAAATGATTCATTTTTTGAATAAACTGAAAAATATCTCTTCTTCGAAATAGAGTTGCTAATCGAATGAACATGTCTAAATTTAAACATATTTAGTTAGGTCAAAACTTTGCGATTTAATAAAAGTAATAAATGTAATTAGTCGAGGAAATAAAGCACTAAAAATGGCCTTACCTCTGAAATCTGTGCAGTAAGATGGATTGTGATGCGGTTTTTTGCATTCGATTCGTTAGAGCGTCCAGAAAGTTTGTGACCCTATGTGATCAATGAGAAATGAAAATTGCATCGGTGCATAACAAAAATGCATTTTTAAAATTGCATCTTGAAGAGTTAAAATATGAAAAATTTACAACTCGGAAAATATTGGAGGAAATGAGTCCAATTTTACTACTCAGGGGTTCTGGGCGTCGCTGAATACGAATATCACGACGGCAACGGTCTCCGAGGTACCTAGTGCCCTAGGGTGGCCGGTTTCCACGTCGTCTCCTGGAGTTTTGTGGAAATTCGTTACAAACTTAGCCGAAACTTGTTACCTCGGGGTTTTTGGGGTCGCTCAATACGAATATCACGACGGCAACGGTCTCCGAGATACCTAGTGCCCTAGGGTGGCCGGTTTCCACGTCGTCTCCTGGAGTTTTGTGGAAATTCGTTACAAACTTAGCCGAAACTCGTTACCTCGGGGTTTTTGGGGTCGCTGAAAACGAATATCACGAGGGCAACGGTCTCCGAAGTACCTAGTGCCCCAGGGTGGCCGGTTTCCACGTCGTCTCCTGGAGTTTTGTGGAAATTCGTTATAAACTTAGCCGAAACTCGTTACCTTGGGGTTTTTAGGGTCGATCAACACAAATATCACAACGGTAATGGTCTCCGAGGTACCGATGTCATCTTCATAAGCTTTATCGAATATCTAAATAAATAATCCGAAATATATTTTTTTTAAGTTTGGCGCTTTTAATACAATTGGTAGCATTGATGAAATTTTAGGTAAGGACTGAGATCGGTGGCCGCTGCTTCCACATTTTACTCTTAAATATATACCTACTAATATATACTCTTACACATACTAGTATACAGGTTCGGAAAGTCCCCATGATACATTGGCTGTTACGTGAGAGTGATAAAGTAAGTCACAGAAATCCGTGCGATAGACAAGAATGGTTACAATGAAGACATTTCATAATCTGAATAGTCACTCCCACTTGTAACCTAAAACGGGCGGTGACTATTCAGATTATGAAACGTCTTCAATGTAACCATCCTTGTCTATCGCACGATTTCTACGACTTACTTTATCGTTCTCACGTAACGGCCGATGTACCATGGGGACTTTCAGAACTGTATATGGATAAGCTCCAAGTTATAGCACACACATGAAATAAGAAAAATTAAAATTGTAAAGATATGTAAGTATAATATTTTTTTGAATACATGTATTTTTTGTAATGAATAAATCTATTTTTATATTAAAAAATAATTAAGAATAAAATAGTTGTCACAGAAACTAGCCATCCTAACGAGTTTCGGCTAAGTTTATAACAAATTTCCACAAAACTCCAGGAGACGACGTGGAAACCGGCCACCCTGGGGCACTAGGTACCTCGAAGACCATTGCCGTCGTGATATTCGTGTTGACCGACCTCAAAAACCTCAAGGTAACGAGTTTCAGCTAAGTTTCTAACGAATTTCCACAAAACCTCAGGAGACGTAGTGGAAACCAGCTACCCTGGGCACTAGGTACCTCGGAGACCGTTGCCGCCGTGATATTCGTTTTCAGTGACCCCAAAAACCCCCCGAGTAGCAAAATTGAAATCATTTCCGTCAATATTTTCCGAGTTATAAATTTTTCATATCTTAACTCTTCGAGTGAAATTTTAAAAATGAATTTTTCTTATGCACCGATGCAATTTTCATTTCTCATTGATCACATAGGATCACAAACTTTCTGGACACTCTAACGAATCGAATGCAAAAAACCGCATTACGATCCATCTTACTGCACAGATTTCAGAGGTTCAGTGCTTTATTTCGACTAAATATATACCTACTAATGATAAATGCGCAATGTCAATTTTGGCATCAATTGCAATGTCCTCTGGATCCGGATGGCCTACAAACTTCAAAATTCAAATCAGCTCTTACTTTGGTTTATCTGAGAACGTAGCTTATAAAATCAATCATACTAAGTAGTTTCATGCCAGCAGAGCCTTTCCAGAATAAATTATGCTTGTGCCACTATTTTTGAACATCCCTACTATTAGAGATATGTCCCTCAAACACTATAACTAAGTAATCATAAAGAAATAGTAAACAAGCAAAAATATATGGGATGTTTCCGATTCTATCTGAAAAAGTAGCAACAATGTATTTGCTGTCAAATTTAATATTATTCATATGATCCATGAAAAAGTTACAAAAGGCACCATTTAGAAAAAAACATGTTTTTCTCATCAATACTTCATTTGTTTTCATTACATTTTTTTTTTGTATTCAAATAGAAGACTGATTAAAACAAACTTCTACGTATGTGTAGTGTCAAAATTGTAATCAAGTCATTATATTGGCAAATATAATTTAGGTACGAATAATTTTGTACCAAACACCTGGACTGACGTGATAGCTGTTTAAAAAAAAATGGAATGTGAAACTCATGAGAGCAATTGTACTTGATTAAGCAACTACAAATACTGTACATAATCAAATCTTGTAGCATTATTTATCTTTATATTAATATGTTTAATTATAATGTCAAAAGCCTCAACTTTTTTTTCAAAAACAAATTTCTTTGAAAAGTCCCATTACTACAGAAATTATTACCTCTTGTACTGAGTATATGTTTTCTTCTTCTTCCTCCTCTTCCTCGGAGTCCTTATTTAGCCTCTGCCCCTTTCTCTCTTTCCAATCTACTACAGCTTTTTGAATCGCTATAAATAATGGTTTTTTTAATATTAAGTTGTTAGTGTCAGACAAAATTTAGGTTAACACACTGTAAAATGTCGGAGATTAAATAAAAATTACAAAATGTGTTGTATCTAATTTGCCCTGAAAAATGTATAATAAATCACTTTTGATCTAGATACATTTATAAAATAATGCAAACAGAATATCATTCCAGAAATTGAGACAACGAAAACATGAAAAAATGATCTTTCTGACATAACACGATGCAAACAGTGGTGACTCGTTAGGTGACGCAAGTGACGCACCGCTTCATCTAAAATTCCACTTCTCTTCGAAGCGTTGTTTACGGCGGTTGTCATGGCAACGAGACGGCTAACACGGGAGTAAACTACGGCGTGGGGGAACGACTGACGTGGATATTGAAGCAGCATTGTAGAAATGTTTCCTATGTATGATTCAGTATGTATTTTATTGGAAACGCCATTTTTTGCCATTTTTCAGATGGAAAATTGAGGACAAAAAGGATTTTTTAAATTGCGAGAGACCTGTGCCTTATTCTCTCGATATGGAAAAAAGGGGAAGTCGAAAGACGTGTACCTTCGGAAGTTTCGGAATGGATGGTATTCGGAGTGTAAGTGGTTGTGTGGAAGTGTTTATTTAAAAAAACTTTTCTGTATGCCATGTTTAATTGTGGGTGTAAAGTCGGGCATGTGGAATAAGGAGGGATTTAACAATTTTGGTAGCATCCCGCTAGGCTGTCGTAATCACAAAGCTTCTTTGGAACATACACGTACGGTGTGCGTTTGTGTTTGCAGAAGTCCACAAGCCAAACTAATATTTCTATTTTTTATAAAATCTAAATAAAAATCCTCACGAGTCAGTTTTCGATAATATTGCAAATGCAACTAAAAATTTCCAGATTCATTTGAAGCCGTCTGACCTTGCAAATTTGAAAATTTTCGCCTGCGGCGCTTTTTTTTTTTTTTTTTTCTTTTTACTGAATCAATGAATATGCTTCACCTATTCTCAATGTCACGAGCCGCCCCTGGATACAAATGAACTTTGTAACTTTGAAATCAGGAGTGGCACCTACACAAGTGCTGCAGAGCTGCAGAACCATTGAAATTTTAACAAAAATATAATAGAAACAGAAAACTAAATGTGTATTTTTATAAAAATTTGGTGTAATAAATATACAATTATTATTTTAATAGTAATAATATATTTCTTATAACCAATGCCCAACCTAAACTAAACAAAAACAGCAGTAATTACGTGGCGTGGCTCTAAGAAATAATCAGATCAGCATTACTGAAATACTACTGGCAGCTCAAATCGTCACTTATGAGCATGAACAGCGGAATAAGCCGGAGCTTGATCGGGTTTGCTTTGAATGCTGCATTTGCATTTCGTTGTCTCTTCGGTACTGCAGATTTAGATCCAAAGTAGTTAGTTTAAATAAAAGTGGAATTTAAACTGGGTTAAACTAAAGAACCCCGCACATGCCTTATGGAAATTGGTATTTCAGTGAAATTTCCTGAAAAATTGATATGTTGTCCCTTTTTTATTACTGATCAAATGTCTTCATGGCCACGAAACTCCAAATGCCCATCTTGAGGCAGTAGGGCCCACTGAAGGGCAAAACACTTTTTGGCGAGAAAACCGCTAACCCGCTTAACTATAGTTTGTTGAGATTTGACGTTTTAGCGAGAAATGTAGTTAACCCGGTTTGGCAGAGTTTGCCTAACCATCAAACCGGACTTGTGGGTTGGTTTGGATATTAAGTTAATATATAGATATGCATTTTCTATATTGAACTGTATAGATTTTTATTAACATCCTTTTAGACGATACATTTACGTTGGAATAGATAATATTTGTGAACAAGGTAAACCCATTTTGTTTCAATAACCATCTATACATTAACGTTATTTCATGGATGTGCATTTCAGATTAGGAATAACAACTATAGTATTTAAGAAATAATCAAACAACTTGAGCTACGAGCACTATCATAGATTATAGGTTACGATTTTATTATTGATTAGATATCCAAACCAAAAGAATTTTTGCGAGTTCTGTCAAATGTTAACTCAAACTCTTAACACAATCAAACTCGAGCTAACCGGGTATGATGTGGTTTGGCTCGCCAAAAAACCCTTATAGTTATCAGTGACGGTTCTAAATATTGAAGTTGCTGGACAGAGTCATGGAAAAACATACAAAAGACAATTTAATAAAAACATTTACAAAACAACTAACATGACTTCTGATAATGAAATCTGATAAAATGAAGTCAGCAATTTCTGGCTTTGTTTTACCAAAAACTGTTATTAGTAATCTATTCTTAAGGTTAACATTTGGCAGTATAACTTACCCAATTTTTCAGCTTTCATTTCTAGTGGTATAAGAATCCCATCATCGTCATCCATGTAACCGTAATAATCAGCATCAATGTCCTTCATAAGTTCAGCTCTTGTTTTCCTAGGAGGTGGTGGTGGTTCCTGTTCAAACAATTCTCGTACTCCTGACAAGTATCAACAATAAAATTATACATACAGGGTGATTCACAAATGGTGACTAAAAATGAAACCTCGTATTCTTTGAATTTTAAGGGGTCTTTCCTATAGTTTTTATCTAGGACGCTTCGTTAAAAAAATACAGGACGTTAAACTTCAAGAAATTTTTAAATTTTTTTTAAATAATTTAAAAACTAGTAAGTGAAATAATTTGAAATTAGGCACATGTATTTATGTAAACATTGTCCAAAATTGGCTTTTCCTACAATTTACATGCTCCAGTAGAGGAGATACAGGTTATCGGTGGCATATTTTTCTAAATAAAATAGTACGTAACTGCTTTACAGTAACATAACAACCATGATATTTTCGGATTCCTCTTTCAATTTCCTACAAATTACCAATCTCTTATGTTTTTCGAAAAAAGCCTGATTTCGAGTAAAACTTAAAAGCCAATACACAATAAACACACTTCGATATTCAAATATAATGCTTTTTAAAATTACAAAGTTGACTGCAATAGCAACTTTGACATTCTTAGCAGTTAGAAGAAAGAATAAATAACACTTTTCATCAGATTCCAGCAACAATAAATTTTAAACAAATTACTAAAAATTTGTCTCGCTTGTGTTCGTGGAAATGGAGGTATTTTTGAGCATTTACTCATATAAAATCATTAAAATGATGACTGTTATTAATTTCTTTATTCGAATAAATAACCGAATGATTAGTGCTTGTCACGTCATTTAAGTAAAAGTGTTTTCAATTGGTATTATAAGTTTTACTTGAAAATCAGGCTTTTTTCGAATAACATAAGAGAGTAGTAATTTGTAGAAAGTTTGCACAATGGTCAATGAGCTTTAAAAAGAACTTTTATTTGTGGATATTTGATTTTTTTATAAAAATGAATGGCTTTAAATCAGGAATAGTATTTGTTAATAGGTAATAAAACACAGCTGTCTCTTGGACACTGGCTTTTTTATATACCAGCGGTACTCTATCAGTCAATTAATTCAATTACTACTATGTAGTGTTGTAAAATGCTCAAGAATCTATTTTTGGAACATTTTAATTGAGCACAAATGAATAAATAAGTATAAATGTTATGAACCTGCTGATTTATGTTCACATGGTTAACTGTTATAAAATTAAGAAATGAGAAATATTCTGTATTCCTTTTAAACTAATGAAAATTTTCTTGTGAACATGCCGAGTAGTTTCAAATTTACCCAAAAAATGCTCCATAATTACAAAAGCAAAATTTAAAAAAGTAGTCATGTGGCACAAATTTTGAGAAAATTCAGCAAAGAAATGTTTTCCTTTTTGATTCTATAGAGAAGTTTGTGGACAATGGTTTTTTAATGCACAAACATTTGCAAATATTCTTAAGCATACATTGAGAATGTTCTCGCCTTTACAACACTACTATTGTGCAATACATATCGCTTGGCATATGTATAATGATAACTTTTCTAATAAAAATTAGAAAACTTATTCAAATACTACTCGATTCTTGAAAATCAGAAGTTTACAAATTTACACCAGAAACATTAGAAATGTGATTACTTACTGAGTTTTGTATATTTTTTATAATGAACACAAGAGGTACGTACTGCAGTCATGTTAATTATATTGTCATAAAGTAACTATTTTTTACCAGGTAACTCTTTTGCGGCTCCAAAATATTTATAACCCCTGTTGCCAGGTACCTCTTTTCCTTCATGGTCTAACATTCGAGGGCCTACTCTTTGGTAATCCGGACCTCCTAATTCCTTTATTTGATCTTCCCAATGCCGCTTTTCTCTTAGCAATTTGTTAATTTCATCGTTTAAGTCACGAATCCTAAATTCTCCAAGACCGGCATTCTGTATTTGAGAAACTTTTTTAGCAATTTCTCTAATAATTTGCATTCTCCATTTTTCACAGGCATATAAACTTTTACATTCAGATGCCAAATATGGCCTGCGTTTTTTATGTTTATCTGTTTCACCTAATTGAGCAGCTCGCCATCGAGCCAAAGTTGTCCTAAAATTTTCATTAACTTAACATACACATAATTTATTAATGCATTTATTACTTACATAGCTTTTTCAGCATTGCGTGCCTAAAATTAAAAAAATACATATTAATTTAAATAATTTTATATTGATTTTTATTAATCTTACCATTATTTATATTTTATGCTTTCCAGATCTGTAAAAACTAAAAACACGAACGGCTATAAAAAAAAATAAAAAATGCGTATAACCAAGGATTTTATTAAAATCCTTGCGCATAACAAGCGATTTTCGAAATAGGTTAGGTATATATAGGTTATGTTCAAATCAAATCACAACAGAGACAAAATAAATCACAAAACATATAATACATAATACCAGGGACTCAGAGCTCAGTATACTATGACTCGGAGTGCGCGCCATTATTCCATGCCTACACGGCCGCCACTATTCTATGGCTAGAAATTGGCCTCAATGATTTGGGATCGAGGGGGATTATCCCTCTTTATCCTGCCTCATCTCGTGTAGGCCTGGACAGCCTTCGTAGGTGGGCCCCATCCGTCGTCTACCCCGACCGCAAATGCGGCCGGTGTAGGCGCTTTGTGGGACCTCCTTTTGTCCTGGCTGGGCCCCGCCGGCTAGGGCCCTTTCTTCTGGCGCTCTTCTTGCTTCGCCGGCTCGTCTGTGTAAACCCCGGGGGTAGTGTCATGTTTATGTGTGGTATGGTTGGGTAGGGTAGTGCGGCTATGCAGCCTGGGATGCGCTTTGCTAAGG